TTTCTTAAAAAATTTTTGGCTTTTAAAAAAAATTTTTTGGAAAAAAAAAAAAAAAAAAAAAAAAAAAGAGAGAGAGAGAGAGAACTAGAATGCAGGTATGGAATTAACCAAGATGGTGTTGGGAGCACCAGCCACAGGCAGCTGATACTGAATAGAACAAAATCCAAAACCTACTCAAGTTTGCTTACGGAGCCAACCCCAGATCCTGGGCTCACAATTACGCAACATAAGCAGAAGCCAAAGTCACCTCTTATTCTTTGTTCATGAGTTTAGAACTGTATAGAGCAGTTCAAATTCAGGATGAGAAAATAAGAGTATGAAAAGAAAATATTTTTCCCTACCAAAGGCTATATTTTCTGCAGGACAAGGGGAGTGGTAGAAGAAAATTAATCAGGGGCATGATGAATGATGGTACAGGAGTTGTTTATAGCTGTTCTGAACTACTCTTTTCTCCTGGAGTTACAGTTGAAAATCAAAGGCAGAACATGTGTTAGGAACCTGCTGTTTACTTATGTTGCTGTACATAGCAGTCTTCACTGTTTAAACACTGATAAGAAAAGAAACTCTGAGGGTGGGAAGGTAAAGAGGAGTGCAACTGAGATATAAATGGGATAATCAACTTCATGTGAGCTGAGGCTAGCTCTAACCCAACTCCTTTGTTTTCATAATTCTGCTGTAAAGATGGACTGCTCTGTTTCTGGAGTGGTGTGGCTGAGAACTTTTACTTAACCACTTCCTGGGAAGATATGTCTTGAATTTCTTTTCCTCCTCCTAGGTGCTTCTATTGTTGGAGTCAACTGCCACTTTGATCCAGATACTTCCCTGGAAACAGTGAGACTGATGAAAGAGGGCTTGCAGGCTGCTAAGCTGAAAGCTCACCTGATGTCCCAACCACTTGCTTTCCATACACCTGATTGTGGAAAGCAGGGTTTTATTGATCTCCCAGAATTTCCCTTTGGTAAGACAAGACTATCTTCTTGGTTTTTTTAATTGTCTGGTTTGTTGTTGTTGTTGTTTTGGTGGGTTTTTTTGTTTGTTTTGGGTTGTGTTTGGTTGGTTGGTTTTGGTTTTGCTTTTGTTGTGGGTTTTTTCCCGGCTTTAAGTAAAGTTGAAACTGCAAGGTGTTCTTCTATACAATAGGAACAGTCCCAATTATCCTGTTTGGTATTTTCCACAGAGGGATGGCAGTGTAATATTGGATTAAGATCATCAACATAGGGAGAGTATTTCAGTAGTATCACAGCATATGACTGAAAGTGAAATGATAATGAAAACAGTTACTGTGCCATAGGCTATATTAAGTTTACAAATGTAGTTTTTCCTTGTGTTACAGAACCTTGTTCAGGACAGATTAAACAGTTCAAACAAATGAATAAGAGTAAATACACTAAAAAAACACCAAACTTAAATGCATTTGCATTGGAGCTCCCCAGCATTCTGCATTGTCACATCTATCCCAGAAGCCCTACAATGTTTACCTGCATAGTGATTTAACATAAAATGCATATGCAGAACTGGATACAGGTGCATGATTATTGAACTCATCATGGTTCAGTCTTGCAAATGTAACTGTCTAATATAAGTGAGATTAGAGAGAAAACAGAAGAGGGAATGTGTTCTTTTTTTGGTGCTAACAAATGGATTAGCAGTTTGGAGATGGATTCATCACATTTATGCTCAGGAGAAATTCTACAAAGATTGAAAGATTCAGCCACTTTCTGTGTATTAAGTCTTGTGTATTTAGGGCTTATTCCTACCTGGAATATAGAAGATCACATCCTTTTAAAATAAAAATACAAACTTATCCTAAACCTTTTAAAATTTATTAGAAAAATGCTTTTATTTTCAGGTATTGTATACTCTTTTTCAAGATAAGACTGTAAGGTGTTAAAATACTCAACATTTTAATTTGTAGCAGAAAACTAGAAAAAATGTGATTTTGGGAAAGTTGTTATGTTGGGGTTTTTTAATTCCTCTCTTTACATAAATGAAGAAAAGAGAAAAAAGCATGAGCCTGGAGCATTCATTAAATTATAATAATGTGTTTGAGTTCTGAAAATATTTTGGGATATTTAAAAGTGTTAGGAACTAATTTGTCCTATTCATTCCTTCATGTAACTGCTCTGATTGCAAGCAAAAAATATGCAGAACAGATGCAGTAAGCAATCAAGTGAATTGAAGGGTTCACTCTGGTTTGTTTTGGTTGTTGACTTGTATGTTATAAGCAATCTATATGAGACCTCAGCTGTCATAAATTTCACAAGTCAATTCAAGAAGGCTATTTCTGTGAATGTTTTCAATACCCCAAAGCAGCAACTGATCACTTGACAGCAGATTAGTTTGGTCAATCATTGTTAAACTGACCCAGTTAACTCCCTATATTTCAAGTATACATAACCTCTGTACAGTCCAACAAGATCTCAGTTTCTGTAAGAGTGTTGGCTATGTTGTATTGGCAAACTCCAGCATCTGGATGCCAGCAGTATTTCTTTATCTGTAGAACCTTTTTTGTAGTTTTCTGTGTTTTCCCTTCTGCAATTGCTCTGAAATGTCACTAGTTAAGCAAGGACAATGTTTTAGAAATAAATGTTCCAGTCAGTCAAAGCATACCCAACTATCTCAAGATTAAATATACAGAGGAGCTGAATCTAGAAGCAGGTTACAATCTTTTAATAAAAAACTGATAAAAATTTCAATCCCTTTGTACTATAAGCATTAACATAAACTGTTAAACTATAGATACTTAATTCTGAATAAAGCCAAGAAAAGGTATGGAAAATAGAAAGTTAGTTAATTTTGGGAAGGGGAAAATCCCACAAAATGTGGTGTGGCAACTTCTTTTCATAGAATACTGCTTATGCAGATGTAAATTGCGTGCAAGATCCTGCCTTCTTACTGCTGATCATTTTGTACCAATTGTGCATTTGGTTTTTATTGATTTATGAGACTCAAGGAGATAATGAATTTGTGCTTCTGAAGCTTTTTCTCACATCTGCAGGACTGTACACAAGATAACTTTCCTGTAAACACCTTTCTGAGATAGCTCCCTCTGGTTTTCCTTCTGATACTAGACCATCTACTTTTCCTTTTTCCAGCCTTTCCCTCCGAAACTACAAATGTTCTGTTTAAGAACATTTTTTTCCTTCTGCTTTTTATTTTCTGAACCTGTCTCTTAACTACACACAGACTTAAGAGTAAATCTGCTTTGTATCACTTTCTTGCATGTTAGGCATTTTTGGGAAAAGACACAGGGAGAAGAGTCCTACCTCTTTGCTGTGTTGCTAGAGCCCTTCTACCTCACCATTGCTTCGTTGCCCAGCGGAGTGTTCAGTGCACAGGCATCACACTGTACTTGCCTGATAATCATGCTAATTCATCTCTTGCAGATATGCATAAAGAAGTGGGAGGATTTTAATTCCTTTCTTCCTGTATTTTTATTTCCTAAAGTTTCTTCTTCGGTCCCTGGTCTTTTCTTTCCAGTTCTGACATTCTTGTCCCTCCTTCCCTCTGAGGTGTTCTTTTCCTTCTTTTCATTTTCTGTTTTTCCATCCCCAAGTCCTTCCTCTCAGCTCTGTTATCTTTCTATTCTGCTCATCACAACCTGCAACCAGGGAGGAGGGTACAGAAAAAGGTTGTGTCCTGACTTACCTACACAGAGAACTTCCCACAAGGAATGAAGTGGTTTGAGGCATCAAGCTGCTTATGGCTGGGATTATAACTAGGTAAATTAGGGGCTAAGAAATAGCTACAGGTCCCAGCTGTCACTGAAAAAAACTGGCTACCATGAGCTAATCATGGAAAACAGTGTAATAAGCATTCCTGAGGAGTTATGAGCCGGCTTATTCCTGTTGCAGGTAGGCTGATACTTTCTCCTTTCATAGATTAGAGTATCCGATTTCCCAGATACTGATTGCTTATTAGGAACTCTTTGTAAATGTGGGTATAACACTCAATGTACTCTGATACTCTAGCTAAGAAATCTGGCAGACTGGCAAGCATGTTACTTAGAGCTTGATCAGTGGCAAAAGATACTAGCTGCTGTTTTGCAAGGCCAAAAAATCTTATAACAAGAACAGCTCAGCAGAGCATACCAGAATCTGTAAGCTAGATTTCTGAAAGTTTGCCTCATTAATTCTAGTTCAGACAGTTCAAACAGGTACATCTACATCTACAATCAGTTTTGAAAACAGTGTGCAAGTATGTCAACAACATGATTTCTTACCAAAAATGGATCATGGTAGAAACTTAAGATACTAATGTCTTTGCAGGTCTGGAGCCAAGAATTGTAACCAGATGGGATATTCAAAAATATGCAAGAAAGGCCTATGACTTAGGAGTTCGTTACATTGGAGGTTGCTGTGGATTTGAGCCATATCATGTCCGAGCAATTGCTGAGGAACTGGGTCCTGAAAGAGGATTTTTGCCAGAAGCTTCTGAGAAACATGGTAGCTGGGGCAATGGCCTGAGCATGCATACCAAACCCTGGGTCAGAGCAAGGTATATAAATCTGGACTGGAAAATACACCAACATACTCCTTGCAAAGGTTTATATTGGTGCATGCAGCAGACTGGCTTAACTGATACAGAGGTCTGAATATGCCTGTAAACATTCTACATGTTAATAAATTTGAAGAATGAAATATGATCTTGGAGCAGGGAAAGGGGTGAAGGGGCATTAGAAGACCTCAAAAAATTCGCATCCCTGTTTAAAATAAAGATTTTGTCTGAACTACTGTTAAGTAATTAATGAAAGTTAAGATGAAAAGCTAACAGATTGCTGTAAAACAGCTCCTGATGGTGAGTGGCTTACAGTGTTCCTTTCAAGTATGAAAAGAGACCTTTTAAGCACATAGCATTTCATTGCATGCTTTCATTCACACTTCTGTATCTAAATATAAAGTCAGTCTGTGCAAGGTAGATGAACCTCTGCAGTGGTGATTTAAACCACATTTTCTTTAGTATTGTGATGTCCTGGAAAAACTCCCTATATTTCCTTTTCTTTCTTTAGGGCAAGAAAAGAATACTGGGAGAATCTGAAGCCTGCTTCAGGCAGGCCATATTGTCCTTCAATGTCAAAGCCAGATGGCTGGGGAGTGACCAAAGGAGCTAAGGAGCTGATGCAACAGAAAGAAGCAACAAGTGAACAACAGCTGAAGGAGCTCTTCCAGAAACAGAAGGTCTAATCCACTGCAGTTCTGTAAATGTTATAATAATGTATCTACAGACCATGCTTCACAAGAAAATCTGTGAAGATGCATATCCTGTTGATTTATCAGTTAAGATGTAGTGGAAAAGACAAAATGCAGAAAGAATGTGATTACAGATTAAATGTAAAAATCTTTCTCTGGACAAATAGTTTAGAGAATACAGTCAGGAGGAAGTTAGGATTTTCATAATAATTGAGCTTCTGTTTGCTAGGTGCTATTAATTGGGTAGACACAGAAATACATGGAAAGTAATAACAGGTTCAATGCACCCGTGGAAAGAGAAAAAGCTAGCTATAAATACAGTATCAATGGACTTCCACTCCTAAGTCTGTTTTCAGTTGGGGATTATATAGGAGTTTTCTCGGACCTCAAGATTTGTGGAGGGTACTTCAGGGACACACAAGCTTCCAATAGCTGAGACACACAGTTATCTATAGTTGCTTTCTTGTACTTCAAAAGAATAAAAGTGAACTGGAAAATACATTTTATAATTGGAATAAGAAGATCAGAACAGTGAGATCTTGCAGGAATTTCTTATATGCAGTAGAAAGGTTCAGAGAACTTTCAGGAAAGAAAAATTACAGGTAAATAACTCACTATTTCTGTCTCAAGATACTGTGCACTCAAGATTTATGCCTCTGGAGACTAAAATGCTTAAGAGATTATTCTAAAATAAATAAATAAAAAAAATTAAAGTAATATGATGGAAAAGTATTGTATTATCTTCACACCTTAAATTGTAAGAGTTTAAAGAGAATCACATAACTCCAGTAAACAAATAATTTTCAAATGATCCTGCTGATTTCTGCGTTGGTAACACTTCATTATCTCAAAATAGCTCTTAAAAATGGAAGATTCCTAAAACATAACTCCTGTTTATAAGAGTAGTAAAACACTCCATATTTTATTTTTTTTTAAGCTGACTGATTCACTCTAGAATTGCAGGTTTAAGAAGATGTTTCCTGTTAGGAAATGGATCAATTCACCCAAGTTAAGAAAACCCATGGACATTTGTATACTGAATATATTGAGAAGCATTTTCTTAGGAAGGGAATCACTATACTTGGAACCCATAAAGGACACATTTTCATTGTTTATTTTTGTGAAATAGAACACAACTTATATTTCTTTCTAGAATCTTATTCACACCCTTTCTACATTAAAGCCACTACCTTTATGAAAACACGATTCTCAAAGTTAGTCTTGAAAACTTTTGTTGGCCTACTTACTATGTAAAAACATATGCCATTATTTCTATCCATGTTGATATTCTGCAATTCAGGAAATATTTAAATATGCAACACTTTAATGGGAAAATTCAGGTACCCTTTTCAGACTGTCATTGGCAGACAGAATTAAGAAAAAGCCATCTGCCTTCACCAAGCTTATAACGCATTGATATAGTTACTAGCTGGAACTTTTGCCTAAAAGCCAAAAGTAGACAAGTAAAGAAAATTGATATTTTGAAATGTAGATTATTTGGAAAGCATTGATGTACATATATATGCACTACATGAAACTCCTTTCCTGTCTAAATCCTTCTGAACATTCCCCCTGCAGTGGAATAATGCAACCAAAAACCAAAAGGCCAGACCTTCGATCACCACCAAAATGTGTGAAGCATAAAAGACCTATGCATGAACAAGTGGCTTAAAATTCAAGCTACAATTGATAAAAAAGTGTTTTGAAATATCATTGCCAGTTTAGGGATTTCCTGTAGCAAAAGATGCAGCTTGATTGTCATACCCTACATAAGCAGCTGAACTGATTGTTTTTTAAACTATCCAAGCATGTAACAATTTGTATGGAAGTGAATGTTCACAACAGGTTCACAGCAGGTGCAGTGACATTTTTAAACTTAAGCCTTAAAAGAAGTGGCTTCATAAGTCTGTCTTGTTCTACTCCACTGAGTTTAGAAAATATTGAACAGAAACTAATCTTATTTCATCCTGCAATATATTGAATTATTTAAGTGTAGACACCATTGAAATAGGATGGGCATAGTATTATCAAAAATACCATACTTCAGCATCTTGCTTTAATACAAAAATTCTTCATTACCTTTTATTTATGTTCTACTTGCTAGAGACAGCATGTGGCCTAAGTTTTATATGAGATAGCAACCTCCAACAAATATAATGGAATTATTACATCAAATTTTGTCAACAGTATACACCTCTGTATATAGACAACTCCTGAGACAGACATTACATCCCAGCTTGAGGAATATGAAGATGGCCTTTCCATGTATTTTTATCAACTTGGAGCTTCCGTGTCCAGTAAAGCTGTAAAACTGAAAAGAAAAGCAAGTGATAAAGGTTAGGTCATAAAGACCTCCAGAGTGGAGGGTAGCTAAATTAATTTCATGGCAGATTGAAGAAATACATGTTTGAAATAGGGAGAAGCAGCATGATCCTGTTTCACAACTAACAAAGCAACAGCAAAAATCCATCGATGTTTACAAGCATTAGCAGTTATCTAGGGGTGATTCAAAAGTGTTCTGTAGAATTCATTTGCAACCATTTGCAGGTCCCCCTGTTATTCAGCTGCTTTTTGTCTCTCAGTATTGCAGGCCCAGGCCTGGAGTGGAAAGATTCCCACGAGAAAGTGAAAGGCCTAGCATGCTCTGTGCTGGTAGCAACCTTGAAAGGTACACACAGAGGCCAAACTGATGTTCAGAACACCAGCTGCTTTCTGGTGTTGAAGAACATGGATCCCAGCCACATCTAGGCCTGAAATGGAGAAAAAGTAAGAATGAACAGATAAACAAAAGAGTTTGCTTGGTGAGAACAGGGCCTTTGTGGTTTTTTTCTGTTGTTCTCCTTTTATTCTACAATGACAGATGTTGGACTACAGCTAAATAGTTAAATGACAGCAGTCAATCCACTTTATTCTATAAAAGCCTGGTCCCATCTTTGCTCAGCAGACTTCCTGTGCACCTTCCAGGAGGTTGCTGGACCTTCTCCCCTCCAGCAGGGATGCCTCCCAGAAAGATTGATTCTTGAGATTTAAGACCCCACCCAGGGACACACAGCTGCAGCTGGTCATGGGTGAGAGGTATTAACTCCTTTATTGTCTTTACTTGCAAACTTCCTGTTTGTCATGGTTCCTAGTCTCTCTCCTGCCTGGCTCGCCATTAATGTCATGGTTTTGGGCCAAACATGTGTCCTGGTTTGAGCCAGGATTAAGCCAATTTTCCTTTTACTGATTTTTTTTTCCTTCAGTGAGCTTTCTTTTAACTAGCAACTGTGTGTTCTGCTAGGCTGGTAAGACAGAGGAATGTTTTTGTAACTGCTGGGTCTTCAAGGTCGCACTTTCGCTCTGCCAGCTCAGACATTACCAGGAGATCTGTGACCCCCCCCATAGGAGGCTGAGTTAGACAGACAGCAAAATTGGCCAGAGATATTCCATTCCATATATCTACGTAAGCCCAGAGGAAGGTCAGAGATCACAGAAGACAACTTCCTTCCTGCTTCTTC